TTTATACTTTCTTTTTATATATATTATTTCTTATATTACAATAGATTTTATATTTCTTACTTAGCTTTCTTATTTTTAAATTTTTTTATAAAAAAGTTTTACTAAAAAAAAGCTTATATAAGCATATTGTATATTAAAATAAAGCTAAAAATCACGTGATTTTAAATCTTATAAAATTAGCTTTATAGCGTTATTAATAAGTAAGTTATTAAGCTTTAAATCTCTTATTTTAAAAAAGTAGATCTTAATTTTTAGCTAAGATTTAACCTATTATAACTCACTTAATTTATAAGCTATATATATAAAAACTAGTGCATTATAAAGAGTTAAATTAGTTTTATTTAAAGATATTAATTATAACCTTATAAGTCTTATAATTAACGTTATATGTATAATTAAAATTTCCCTCTATAACTATACATTACACTATAAATGTAGTTGTAATGTAGTTAAACTACACTAAAACTATAAAAACTACACTACACTACAAACTACACTAAAAAACTACATGTAGTGTAGTTTTTTTGTTAATGCTCTGATAATACTTAAAGCTTTAAAATAAAAAAAATTAAGCTAGCTTATATTATAGCTATAATATAGTATAAAAAATTAGGTATTATAAAGTAAGCTTATAAGAAATTTTATTATAGGTAATATAATAGTAGAAATTAAGATACAAAATAGAGTATATAAGTAATAAAAAGACTAAAAAAAATATAAAAGAAGAATTCTAAGAGGATTTTTAGTAAAATATTAGGTTTTTATCTTACTAGGTAACTAGCTAGCTTAGCTACTTAACTAAGCTAGTAATCTAGTAAGGTTTTTTCCTAATAAAGATAAATGTAGAGGTACTAGGGCATAAAATGCTAGTCTAGTAGATATAAATAAATAAATAAATAATAAAAAGTTAATAAAATAAGTTATAATAAATTTTAATTATTTTTATTTTTATAAAAGCTATAAATATATTAATATTATACTTTTTAAGCTTTTAATATACTAATTTAATTTACTATTAAGCTTTTAAATTATTACCTTAAAGCTTAATAGTTTTTATAATATTCCTTATAAAAGGTATATTTAAGTAGCTATTACTAGTTAAAAAAAAGGTTAGTATTATAAGGTAATTAAAAGCTAGCTATATTACTATTATTTATATAAGGTTAGTAATTATACTTATTAGCTTTAATAAGCTTAAATTTCTTTTTTTACTTGGTTTATTATACTTAACAAGCTTTAAATATAGTTAATATTATTATAATTATTTTTTTTAGTTTTCATAGCTAAATAAATATTATTAATATTAAATATTAACTTAAAAGTTAGTTTTTTATACTTTTATTTTATAATTTAAATACTTATTTAAGTATAT